CAGCCTCCTTCTTCAAAGGATTTGTTAATAAGTCAATGACGGAACATCTAAAGGGGAAAAATATTTCTCTTTATAGTTGAAGATAATTGTCCCAGGAAAAAAAAAAACAACAAACCTTTAATTACAACTCACATGGAGAAAGCTTGATTTGTGGGCAGAGCCCAAATGCTGAGGAGCTGGATGTAAAATATTTGTAATATTTAGGGAACCTAGAGTTTTACATAAAAGTAAACAGCATTGCCTGAAGGCACAATTTCCAGCAACACAATAAAATGTGCAGTGAATTTATGGCGGCCATCCATTAGCTCTTACCAAGGCAACGTCGCCCCTATCTGTCGTCCATCATTATAATAGAGGGTTAATGCACCGAATTTACATAAAAAAGTCATATTGTCTGCATGAATTATTTACACTCGAAGCTGTTTTTACAGCTTGGTTTCAAGCTGGATTCTGGGAGAGATTCTGCCAGTAAATTACTCTGTGGAGACCTGGTTCTATAACTGTGCGCAGAGCCGGCAATGAAAAGAAAGGAAAATGGGCAGGCCCTGGCGGGTCGTTGGTGCTGACGCCTCTCGGGTGGGGGCTGGAGGCAGTGGTGGAGGCTTCTGGAGGTGGCTGGATGTTGCTGCAGATGGGACTCTGCCTCTGGGCCTGTGGTTTCACGGTTGCCACCCAGCTGCCTGTGTGGCCAAAGTGAGTTCAGGCCCAGAGAACCACAGCAGTCCTCCAGAGGTGTCTGAGGGCTCTTGGTGGCCAAAGTCTAAGGCCTTTTAGGGATTAGGGGGAGCCCTGCAGAGGGGGAGACGCTGCCGCGAGTGTTGGAGCAGGAACCCAACTCAGCAGTGTGAGCCAGACCCATCACTCCATTGTACAGATGGGAAGATGGAGGCCTCAGGAGGCACCTACTCAAGAGGCGAGAAGTCTGTTCATCCCAGGTGGGCCTGGGGACTGTGGGAGGTACATGCACTTCAGACGTTGGGGGTGAGGGGGCTGGCACGGAGCATCTTTGGGACACACAGAGAAACAGAGTCTCCATGCCTCTCATCTCAGTCCTTATTGTTTTCCGGGACCTTTCCTTAACTGATGGCAGTTTTAGTGGTTGGGCTGGCATGGAATGCGCTGATTTATGCCACTGGGTTCTTAAATCTCTCGAGGTACTGGGGAGAACTGCTCATGTTTCCAGGTGATATGGAGTTATGGGGAGCTGGTCGTGCAGTAGAAAGACCTGGATTTTTATTTATTTATTTTTATTTATTTATTTATTTATTTTTGAGATGGAGTCTCAGTTTGTCACCCAGGCTGGAGTGCAGTGATACCATCTCGGGTCACTGCAACCTCTGCCTCCCAGTTCAAGTGATTCTCCTGCCTCTGCCTCCTGAGTAGCTGGGAATACAGGCGCGCACCACCATGCCTGGCTAATTTTTGCATTTTTAGTATAGATGTGGTTTCGCCATGTTGGCCAGGCTGGTCTCAAACTCCTGGCCTCAAATGAGCTGCCCACCTCAGCCTCCCAAAGTGCTGGGATGATAGGCGTGAGCCACTGCCTGGATTTTTAATCCTGTGTCAGCTATGTGACCGTGGGTAAGCTTTGGACACTCAGTTTCCTCATCTGTAAAATGGGATTTCTAATCTCAGCCCTCCTAGACTGTCCCAAAGGAGTGGTAAGAGGCTCCAATGGGATAAAATACTTGGAAGGTGTCTGGTGTGTCAGAAGCAAGGCCGCAGGTGACAGGGTTGGCAGAGGGAGGTGCTGAGGTCCAGGCTGACAGAGGAACTTGAAAAGAAGAGAGTGAAATGGACAGAGAGAGACAAGGCCAGACAATCGGACACAGAGAGGTGAAAGAATCATAGAGACAGAGAGATAGGGAGAGACAAAGAGCAAACCCACAGAAACAAAGAGAGAGAGAGAGAGAGAGAGATGGGGGTGGTGTGAGGAAGAGACTGTGTTCCAGGAGAAAGAAGTCAGAGGCAAGGTCAAGCTGCTTAAGGCTCCGACTGCCTGGAGTCCTGTGGATGCCTTTCTGGCCAGTGAAGAGGTTGGCAGGGCAGGGCCCACCGTGGGTCCCGTGCCACCTCTTGCCTGGACCCTCTCCCTTCTTCCAGGCCAAGAAGTGCCTGGGCTTCTCTCTGGCCTGGGGATTCCTGCCTCTTCTCCCTTTGCTTTCCTTACAGCACAAGGAGGCCAGAGCTGGAAGCCAGGGCCCTTCCTCCTCCATCCCCCAGCACCTGGGATGGGCGTGTGCTTGTTGCTGTCGCTGTGCTCTCGTGTTCTCGTCTCCCACTGCTGGAGCAGCCACAATAGGTCCCAGGGGCCTGGAGACAACAAATGGCTCCCTGCTGATGGGCTGCTCGCCGCCTCCTGCCTGCCAGCCAGTCCCGCTGCACACCGGCAGATAATCAAGTAGGGCAGGGGAACCTCTCCTGCCCACGGTGGTGTGATTTAAAGCTGAACTTTGCTTTGCTTTCTTTCATCCCCTGGAGAAACAGGATTTAGATTGTAAATCTCTTCCTTCCTGAGAACATGCATATACACATAGGTGCACACACACTTGCATACACACATAAGGGTGTTCACACACTGCAAACTTAAATACTTACAGATATGTCCACCCATTTCCACACCACACATGTACGCAATCACGCACGATGCATCTGCATGTGCAAACAGCTCACGGCCACAGGTAAGGGCAGGAGGAAAATTTATCAGTGGCTAGAATGGCTGTGATGTATGGGGTGGGTGGAAGATGGTGAAGTGGACAAGGGATGCTGAAATTGCAAGAAACTCTCTAGACCTCACCCTGCCTTGTTACATGGGGGAGGAATGAGGTTCGTGCTGTTGCATGAACGTGTGTGCTTCTGTGTGTGTCCCTGTGTGCAAGCGTGTGTGTGTATCTGTGAGTGTTTTGCAAGTGTGAGTGTCTTTGTTGAGTGCTGAGGTTGATAGTCTATGGACAGTGCTGCATCGTACTGGCCTTGGGACTGGACTCAGGACGGGACTGGTGTCCACAGTGCTACCGCCATGCCCGGACTCAGGACCAGACTGGTATCCACAGCACTACTGTCATGCTGTGGGCCTCGGGCAAGCTGTCGCTTTTCTCCGGGCTCCAGCTTCTGCTGGTTCCCCAGGCTTCTGCCAGTTCTGACTGTCTAGTTTCTCTGTGTGACCTTGAGGGTGTGTTTCTCCAAGGCTTGAATGAGCCGCGCTTGGGGTGTGCGTGTGTGTTTGGCGAGCATTTGCGTGTTGACGCTGGGTATGTTTGTGTGCATGTTCAGGTGTCGATGTGTTGTAGGTATGTTTGTGCATGTGTTTTTGTCTGCATGTGGGCATATTTGTGTGTTCAGGTGAGTGTACTTAGAGCAGCGAGGATGCCATGCACCTGTGTTTGTATTGTGAGTCCGTGTAGAGTCTGGCGTGAGCGTGTGTGACAGTGAGCTTGGGAGGTGAACTGCGGGTGTGTGTTTGCCTAGTGGGAGGGTTTATGAGGGTGGATACGGGAGCCCGTTCTTACTCCTCTGCTTTCATCTTCTCTGTAACATTGATCACCATTGGACACACTGTGTATTAATAGTTACTTTGTTTATGGTTTCTCTCCTGAAAGCTAGAATGTAAACCCCATGAAGGTAGGAGTTTTACCTGTTTTGTTCATGGCTGTATTCCCATGATTAGAACAGTCCCTGGCACATGGTGGTATAGCAGATGTCCAAGGACATTCATTGAATGAATGAATGAATAACTTAATCATCTCCTTCAAGAGTTGCCTTAAGTGTCACTCTCTTAATCAGTGTTGATCATTCCACTTAAAATTTCTGCCCGCCCTGGCAGATCACGAGGTTAGGAGATTGAGACCATCCTGGCTAACATGGTGATACCCCGTTTCTACTAAAAATACAAAAAGAAAATTAGCCAGGCGTGGTGGCGGGTGCCTGTAGTCCCAGCTACTCGGGAGGCTGAGGCAGGAGAATGGCGTGAACCCGGGAGGCGGAGGTTGCAGTGAGCAGAGATCGTGCCACTGCACTCCAGCCTGCGCGACAGAGTGAGACTCTGTCTCAAAAAAAAAAAAAAAAATTTTCTGCCCGCCCCTCCCCACAGCTCTCCAGTTCTTATGTTGTTCTCATTTTTCTTTTTTAAATTACCTTCCAGTATACCAAGTGATTTACTAATTGTCATTTACTTTTTATTTTTATTTTTTGAGTGGGAGTCGCGCTGTGTCACTCAGACTGGAGTGCAGTGGTGCGATCTCAGCTCACTACAACCTCCGCCTCCTGGGTTCAAGCAATTCTCCTGCCTCAGCCTCCCGAGTAGCTGGGATTACAGACGCACACCACCAAGCCCAGCTAATTTTTCTATTTTAGTAGAGATGGGGTTTACCATGTTGGCCAGGCTGGTCTTGAGCTCCTGACCTTAGTTGATCCACCCGCCTTGGCCTCCCAAAGTGCTGGGATTACAGGCGTGAGCCAGCACGCCTAGCTTTGTTTATTTGTTATGTACTATCCTAAGTTTTTAAAGTTGTTAGTATCCCTGTTAGAATGAAAGCCCAAGCAAAGAGTGGAACCTTTGTTCAATTTGTCCACTGATGTCTTCCGGGTGCCTGGAACAGTGCCTGGTAGCTGGCAGGTGCTTAATTGATATTTACTGAGTGGATGGATGGGATTCTGTGTGTCATGAAGGCATGAGTGGGCTTTTGAAGTGTTTTGTGTGAATGTGTTTATAAAATGTGTTTGTGGGTGTGTGATAGTGAAGGGTCAAGGACTGCATGTTTTTTTCTTTTTCTTTTTTTTTTTTTTGAGGTGGGATCGCACTCTGTCACCCAGGCTGGAGTGCAGTGGCAAAATCTCTGCTCACTGCAACCTCCGCCTCCCTGGGCTCAAGTCATTCTCCCACCCCAGTCTCCCTAGTAGCTGGAATTATAGGTGTGAGTCACCACACCTGGCTAATTTTTTTGTATTTTTTGGTAGAGATGGGGTTTTGCCACATTGCCCAGTCTGGTCTTGAGCTCCTAATGAGCTCAAGTGATCCACCCACCTTGACATTCCAAAGTGCTGGGATTACAGACGCGAACCACCATGCCCAGTCAGGACTGCGTTTTTAATGATGTGGGTGACTGTGTTTGATGATGTGGGTAACTATGTCCTTTGAGGCCCAAGGGCAAGTCTCTGATAGAGCCTGTCAGGTTTGGGGTATCCTGCTTGGGTATTGCTCAAAGGTTTGCCAACAGACCCATGAATGGCGTCCCTAGGAATCTCTAGGAATCTTTTCCTTGATGGGCTGCAAACCTGGTGGCTGCAAACCTGAGCCCCGTCCCTGGCAGCCTCCTGGGTCTACCCCTTCCTTTTCCCATGGGCACATCTAGGCCTCATGCCCAGAGAACTCCCTCACCCTGCAGCACAGTCTGAGCTCTGGGCTGGGAGGCATCAGGAGAAGGGCAAAGGCTATAGTCAGTGTTGGAGGACAGCCACATGGGCAGCAGCTGGCCTCAGCACCTGTACAATCTGGGAAGAGGGGTCTTGGGGTGCCACTTGGGCAGGGGGTAATCCTGGCACCAGGGATTCAGAGGCAGTGGTCAGTTCAGAGGTATAAGGGTTTGGTGGCAGGTGGCCAAGCCCTGATGAGGGGTTGGAAAAGAGGGTCCAAGCTGGCCCTATGCTTAGGCTGTGGGGGCGTCAGGGGCCCAGGCATCAAAGAGTTTAGGGTGTGATGTGGGCTTGGGGGCCAACATGAAAAGCCCACTGATTCAGTCTTCAGGGAGTGGTGCGGTCTGCGCCTCAGTCCAGTCTCGTTTAATGTGAAGGTGGTGGGCACAGAGCGGCTGGGAGGTGGGGTGAGGGGAGGCCACCCTGTGGACGACAGTGTCAGGACCCAGAAGGCACTCAACCAAGTGAAACTTTGGGCAGAGGCTGAAAGACACATGCAGCAAGGCCAGAGGCGACATGCCCCCATAGGCCAGCATTTAGGAAATATTCTCTAATGCATGAGTGTGGTGGTCAGGGTCAGACAGCTGCACTCAGCTTTCGACTCTCCAGCTGTGTGACCTTGGGAGGGTTATGTAACCTCTCTGAACCTCAGTTTCCTCCTAGGCACAATGCAGATACTTTCAAAAAAAAAAAAATCTCATAGTGAGATTGGAAGGATCAAGTTGTCATTACTACTGTTATTCTTGTTATTTAAAAAGCTGTACAGGTCCAGGAAGGAAGGACTGTCTTGACAGGAATCCAGACAAAAAAGATCCAGGGTTTTGGCCAATCTCAAATTTGTATGAGGGTCTAATATGGATGGTGAGATCTGTGACATATAAAAGAAGGCAGTGATCCCTGGAGCCAACATGGGTTCACCAAGACCGGGCACAGCTCTTAGGTTCTTGACAGCTTAATGACTCGTGGGTAAAGAAAACGAGCCAGCATGAGTGGAGAGGAATCTGTGATTTATTGAGCACCAATTGTGTGCTGGACACTTCACACACATGGTTTTATTTAATCCTCATGAGCTGTGGATTAAACAAGATGTGACAATCTCCATTTTACTGATGAGAAACTGAGTCTCCGGGAAGTGACTTGCCCAAGGTGGTTGGAGCTAGGATTCAAATCTGGATCTGTCTAACCCTTTCTGCCATATCATACTGTCTCCTAAGACACTGGGTAGAGTCCCTCGTGGCTCTTGAGGACATGAAGGATGTCTGAGAGGGCACAAAGGGGGCTCCCATTGGGCCAAACAACAGCCATGAAATGTTCACGTAAGTGTAACCAGGTCAGTCTACAGGCAGTGATAGACACTGCCATGGGACTGTCCACCCTGCTTTGTTCAGTCTATGCCAAGGACCTATAAGAAGACATGGAGGGTGTAGGCCTATAAAAGTTGGAGGTGGTAGAAAGCTCCAAGGGACAGAGAAAATCTCAGCAGAGTCAGGATTTAGAAAGATCTTGACAGGCTGGCGTGGCAAGGTGAATTTAGCATGAAGAAATATCACAGGGAAAAATGCTGAGGCCCATCTTGACTACAGGAAACATTGTAGAAGGATGGGCAGCTCAAGAGAAGGATTTAGAAGCTCAAGTGCCAGTAAGTTCGGTATGAGTCGGTAGGCTACGTTGATAGAAATATGTTGTTTGGGACAAGGGAGGGGGGCCTCTCTCTAGCCTCAGTTCACACTCTGCCCTGGGGCAGTTTCTACTGTACATATTTGAAGGTCATGTGCTATTTTCTGTTTTTCCAGTTCTTTCCCTTTCTTTTCAAGTTCTTAGGGGAGGCAGAGTCCTTCCGGAGTTTGACCTTTGGATTCCATCCAGAGCAGCCTCCAAAATGACACCTTTGAAGGTGGGAAAGACACTGCAGATTCTCTGGGTTTTTGTTTGAAATCTATCTTGGATTTGTTATTTATGCCCAATTACCCTCAGTCAAGGGAGCAGAAAGTGCTGGTCTCTGAATGTTCTGGAGCAGGGAGAGCTCCTGCTTCCCTAGTTCCCACTGGCCAGGTGTATCCACTCCTTTTCCAGCTGTCTCCTTCCCTTCTTGAGCGCCCTTTTCCTGGTGGTCAGTGGCTCGCCAGGGCCTGGCCAGGCTGGTTCTCCTATGCTGGAGGCGGGGCAAGAGGAGGGAGCCTTGCAGCTGCTCACATTGGGGCTGGATCTCTGCTTGAGCTGGGATGTCACCTGCCAAGCTGAATTCGGCACAGGATGCTCCTGGCTGGAAGACGCGCTGTTTAATTTGGAGATTCTGTTCCACTCTGAAATGTGCTTCTCCTGGCAGCTGCAATGAAGTGAAGCTGTTGAGCTTCCCTCTCTTATGCCAGAATCACAGCCACTTTTTCCTGAGAAAGAAACAGAGCTACAGACAGTTTTACTCATTAAATACTTTTTTTCCTCTTAAATCTGTTTTTGTAATTTTTTTTTTCTTGCGTGAACGGAAAAGTAAAACGGGTGATATTGAAATAAACAAGGCATTTGTGATGGGAAGGTTAAAGCAGATTGTTGGGGGTGGGGAAGGGGGTTGGAAACACCCCACGTTTCTGCATGCAGGCTGCTCATAGCCTGTTGAGGATGAGAGTGAGAGAAAGTATTCATGAGGCTGCCCCTCTTCCAGCCCAGAGGAGTCAATTTCTTCAAGTGTCCTGGGCTTCAGTGAGAAAGGCAGTGGAGAAGGGCGCTCTCATTTATTAAGGGCCCACCAAATGCTACGCCTGTAATATGGGTGAGCTCATTCAGTCCTCATAGCAACCCTGGGTGGTAGGACCTATTTTACAGATAAGGAAGGTTGAGGCTCAGATGACTGAAAGTCAACCCTGCAGGGCATACAGAGCTGGGATTTGAACCTCCATCTGTCTGACCTCTGACGCAGTGCTGTTTTTGGCTATACTTTGCTACCCTGAGCAGTTGTGTATCGAGCTGGGGGATGTAAAGGGAGGAGAAGAAAGAAGATGAAGAGACACCAGCCAGCCTTGAGTGGACATCCTGCCTGGTGAAACTGAACAAGACACCGACCGCATGTGAGTGAAACAAGCCCTAGTTGCTGGGCTCCGACAAGCATGGGTGGTTTGGGGAAGGGTGTGTAAGAGTGGGTGTGGAGGGTTTTGGCCTGATAATGAAGGTAGGCTTCTTGGAGATAGAGGACCCTGGAAGTTGAGTGGAGTTGAGGGAACAGCCTGACAACATCTTGGGCAAAGGCAGGCAAGGTGTGAGTATGGCTCTGGTGAGAGCAGGTAAGTCTGAGTGGAGTAGTGATGGTTGTGGTGAGAATATCCATGTTGGCAGAGGAGGATCAGGTTGGAAGATGTAGTGGAAAAAAGAGCCCTGAGCTGGGAAGCAGGTGCCCAGTTCTTGACCTGGCTCTGCCATTGACTTGCTGTGTGAACTTGGGCTAGTCCTCTTCCCTCTCTGGGCATCCGGTTTTCTGTCTGTAAAATAGCAGAATTGGACTACAGGATCCCTAAAGACCTTTGCAGGGTCCTAAGGAGAAAGAAGGTGACTATAGTATCCAGAGGGCCTTGAATATCAAGACTTGGCATTAGAATCATGAAATGTTAGGACAAAAAGGATCTCCAGGAATCATGCACTTAAACTACCTTCCTTTACATCCTAAAGGATGAGTGGGAGTTATCAGGCAAAGGAAAGCAAAAGATGGAAGAGAGAAAAGAGGGCATTCCAGGCAGGAGGCATAGCATGAACAAAGGCATGGGTGGAGGCACGGTGCAGTGAACATTAAGCAGGTTGATGTTGAAGATTAAAGACCAATGTGGCCGGGTGCAGTGGCTCACTTCTATAATCCCAGCACTTTGGGAGGCTGAGGTGGGTGGATCACCTGAGATCAGGAGTTCGAGATCAGCCTGGCCAACACGTATTTTGTAAAAATACAAAATTTAGCCGGGTGTAGTGGCGCACACCTATAATCCCAGCTACTTGGGAGGCTGAGGCAGAAGAATCACTTGAACCTGGGAGGCAGAGGTTGCAGTGAGCCAAGATGGCACCACTGCACTCCAGCCTGGGTGACAGAGTGAGACCCTGTCTCAAAAACAAAAACAAAACCAACCCACAAAAGACCAATGTGGGGTGTGGGAGGAGGCAAGTCATCAGTTAGGAGAGGGAGATGGGATCAGACCTTGGGAGGACCATGCGGGTTTGATTCCATCCTTTGGGTAATGGGGACTCAATGAAGCTGTGGGAGTGACATGCTCAGAGGTACAATTTTGAAAGATCACTTTGGCAGCTTTGTTGATCTTGGATTTGACAGGGGCTGGGAGCAGATACAGGCCAAGGATACGTGCTGACAAGACAGGTCAGGAAGCTGTGCGTCAGTTCAGCAGGAGATGGTGGTGGTCCGTCAGGGTGGCAGAGTGGGGACGCTGAGGATAGCACCTGTTCATAAGGTATTTGGGAAGTGGAATAGATAGGACTTGTTGATTGATTGGATATGGGGAGTGGGGAAGAGTGAAGAGACGAGGACTCTCGGGTTCTGGCTCGGTGATATTCACTGAGACGGGACACAGAGGAGGAGAGAGGGATTTTTTGGAAACAAAGATGAGCTGAGTTTTAGATTCGGTGAGTCTGAGGTATCAATGGAGCAGTGTGTAATGTCTCATTCATTCATTAATTATTTACTGAGCACTTACTATGTGCCAGCCATGCCTGGATACTGCTTTTCTGTAGCTGTCAGCCTAGAGGGGCATTCAGAAAGTTCTTCTGTACATTGAATATTGAGCTGCTGAGCTTTTACCCATTGGCCTTCTTCTGCCCTTCAGGACTTCACTGGCATCTACTCTCCTTCAGAGATTAGAGATCAGTGATTGTGGTTCCCTGCATCATCTTTGTTTCTGGGAACAGGGAGCTGTGGAGGGAATGTAGACTTTAGAAAATTATAAAGGCCTGGATTTCAGCCCAAGTACCTTTTGTATGATCTCATTTGTTAGGTGGGTTTACCGACACCTTTTGTTTTTGTTTTTGTTTTTTTGAGATGGAGTTTCGCTCTGTCCCCAGGCTGGAGTGCAGTGGTGCCATGTCGGCTCACTGCAACCTCCACTCCGGGTTCAAGTGATTCTCCTGCCTCAGCCTCTCGAGTAGCTGGGATTACAGGCATGTGCCACCACACCCAGCTTTTTTTTTTTTTTTTTTTTTTTTTTTGTATTTTTAATAGAGACAGGATTTCATCATGTTGGCCAGGCTGGTGTCAAACTCCTGGCCTCAAGTGATCTGCCCACCTCAGCCTCCCAAAGTGCTGAGATTACAGGCATGAGCCACCACACCTGGCCTAACAACATCTCTTTTATAGACAGTAGAGTGCTGGAGGGGGTTCCTACTGGCTAACAGAACCAAATGAGGGCATCTTTTCCCAATTCTGCATGCATTGACATCCCATTGGTAGTTTGGAATTGACCATCGTGGGAGTATTTACACCATAGAAATTGGCAAATGCTACAAATCAGGACTCCTTTTTTCTTTCAGAAAGCTGGTTGGTTAATATTTACCAGCCAACAGTAAATGTTTATTGCATATAGAGTTATGGTTTGGATGATGGACATAGAGCACCTGGCACATGGTACCCAGATATACACACATTCCTTAGCACACAGTGGGTACCTAATAAGTGTGACTACCTCTTCCTTTGATGTTTCCTCTCTATGGGAAAACTGTTGCTTCATCTGCTCACAATAACAACTTCCCTTCCACAAGTGCCTGCTCCTCTCTTTTCTCAAACGACATGGTCCCAAGTGAAGCTGCCATTTTCTTACTCCTCTTGGCCGCCATAGTAGGGTAGAGTCAAAAGGATGGGGATTTTGGAGTCTCATGAGACTAAATTTGAAATTTGGCTTTGCCTCCTACTAGCTGCGTAATGACCCTGGGCGAGAAATTTAATCACTCTGAACCTCAATTAAGTCACCTGTAAACTGGGGATGGGCATGCCTCCCTCATTAAGTTGTTGTAAAGATAAAATGAGGTAATGGGTACACGAGGGCCTGGCATTGAGGCAGCAGTTTCAGTGAGAGCTTGACCCATGCTGGCTTCCTTCCCCTGAAAAGTCCAGTGTGGACTTGGGAAACAGCTCTGACGATGGGGTTGGGGGTGGGAGAGGGAGGAACTGGGGCTGCAGCCTTGGGAAGGATGGTTCCTGGTGGAACATGTAGGTCGAGAGAGGCTGTGGGCCATAGGACCTTCCAAATGTATTCCGAGTGCGGTGGAGGGGAACTCCCCTGGCCACAGTTCATGCTTCCAGGGCCCCCACCTGCAGATCTGCAGATCGACTCCTATCATCAGCTCGGCTCGTGCATTTCTGGGGCGGCTGCGGCGTCCTGGGCTGCCCTGATTTACCACCCCAGCCCCAAGCAGATTAAATCACCCAGAGTCATTTGAATTTTACCTGGCCTTGTCACACAAATCTTAGAAACTGCTGTCTGGCAAGAAAACTTTCCCTGTACTTTTTGGAGGAAGACTAAGAGCTCTAGAAATTGAGGTGAAGTGGAAAAAGGAGGTGGTTCCAGGGGGGTTTCTGCATCTTCAGGTCAGACCAATGTTGCAGGTTAGAGGAGGGATTGTGGGGTGTGTGTGTGTGTGTGTGTGTGTGTGTGTGTGTGTATGAAATTGCTGCAGAGGCCTCTGGGACAATGTTGTTTCTGGCTGTGTGACATAGGGCAAATCACTTAACCCCTCTGAGTCTCACAGGACTGTGGTGAAGGTCAAAAGGGCTAGCTTGTGGAAAGTGCTTTGTAGGCTTCAATCAGTTCTGTGATAACTAATTGGAAAGATGAGACAAATGACTACATAAATAAATTATATATGGCAGTGGTTACCGTGTGTCAAGCAGAGTAAGAGCTCTAGGAGCCAAACGGAGGGGCATATTGCCAGAGGTCTGGGGCTTGACTTGGGCCTTAAAGGAAGCCTAAGTCTCAGGGAAGAGAAGTGGAAGAGGTTGTAGTACAAGTGAGGTTGTCGACACCACGTCTGTCTCCATCAGTGTGTGTGTCTCTGAGGTGGGTCCTGACTGGTTTAGCCAATTCAGACAATGCCCCCTTCTCTGACCTTGGCACATTGGCTGGTTCCAAACCAATCATACATACATTCTCCTGGTCCCTGGGATTGATTCAAATTGGCCCCATCAGACAGAAACTCAGGGTTTTAGTGAGATGACTGGGGAAACACATCTAATCTCTTTGTATCTGGATTTGAATGAGGAAACATGTGGGCCCAGTTTCTGGCAGGCATCTGGTGACTAGGAACACTAACCTGAGAATGTAGCCAACATATGGAGGTGGGAAGAACCTGGAAAATCACAGAAAAATGGAGTCCCAGCCCCAGTCAAACTGTGCCTGATGTCTGTTGCATCTGGAATATTGCATGAAGTAATCAATCTGCTTTATTAAGCCAGTTTGGATTTCATTTTTGTGTTACTTGCAACATAAAAACTGATACAGAGGGTGATGGAGGGATCCAAGTAGGGAGCTGAGAGCCTACTTGGTGTTAGGCAGCCAATGAGGAGACCCTGTAGGCGGGAGTAAAGGGTGGGTCAGGGTGCGTTGTGGGGTGAGGGTGGCTAAGGCCTATAGGAAATGAGACTAGAAGGAAGTTTGGGGTTTAATAATGGAAGGACTCAAATGCAAGGTTAAGAATTTGGGCTTGATTTTGTAGGCAATGGGGTGTAGCTTCAGAATTGTGAGCAGAGGAAAGGAAAGGATAAGTGATGTGAACACAGTGATATTTTGGGAAGATCAACGTAAGAGTGGGGTGTGTGTGTGTGTGTGTGTGTGTGTGTGTGTGTAGGATTGGAAAGAGAAATTGGGGGCTGAAACTTTAAAAATTATCATTTATGGATGCTACACATAGTTCATGTATTATCTCACTTAATCCTTAAAAGGGCCTCCCCCACCCCCCCTTTTTTTTTTTTTTTTTTTTTTTTAAAGCTGAGTTTCCAAAATCTTGGGTAACTTGACTAGATCATATAATTAGCAAATGGTGGAGGCAGGACTTGAACACGGGTCATCTGACTTCAAACCCTGTATCCTTATTCACCACATTTATGGTAACACAGTTGACAAATTAGGATGGGCTAGATAAGATAGTGGCTACGGAGATGGAGAGCATGAAACAAGAGATATTAGGTTGGTGAAGTTCTAGATGTTTTGTCATTAAAGTCAGAAACCAGATCAGGATAACCATTGTTATCAACATTTAAAAAATACTTTTCCAAAAGGGCTAGGCATTGCAATTAGATAAGAAGATGAAACAGAAAGTATAAATGTTGGGAGACAGGAGCAAATAATCATAGTTTGCAGATAAGATGATTATTTATCTGGAAAACTCAAGACAATATTCTGCAAAACAATCAGAAAAAATAGAGTTTAGTAAAATGGCCAGTAACAAAAAAATTTACACAAACTAACAGCTTTTCTATTTATAAAATGACTATCTAGAAGGTAAAATAAAAGCTCCATCCATACTGTAAAATACAAACACAAAATACCCGGAAATAAACTTTACAAAAAAATGTGAATTACATGAAGAAAACTCTTCTGAGTTTTAATAAATATGGTATATACCTAGCTCTTGAGTAGAAAGATTTAATACTTTAAGGATGTCAATTCTCCAAAACAAATGTATGAAATTAAGATAATCCAGTCAAGATCCCAACAGGATTAGAATTTGTTTTGACAAAAAAATTATGAAGCTAATCTGGAAGAATACCAAATGAGAATAAGGAAAATTCCAAAAAAGAAAAATGATGAATATTTACTCTATCAGATATTAAAATGTTTTATAAAGGCATAATATAATTAAAATTCTTATGTAGGAATAGACAGACAGATCACGGGGACAGAATAGAGTCTAGAAATGGGCCCAGATATTTAAGGGAATTTTCGTTTGTTTTTGGAACAGAGTATCACTTTGTCGCCTAGGCTGGAGTCAGTAGTGTGATCTTGGCTCACTGCAGCCTCGACTTTTCAGGCTCAAGTGATCCTCCCACCTCAGCCTCCTGATTAGCTGGGACTACAGGCACACGCTACCACACCCAGCTAATTTTTTGGATTTTTTTGTAGAGATAGGGTTTTACCATGTTGCCCAGGTTGGTCTTGAACTCCTGGGCTCAAGTGATCTGCCACCTTGACCTCCCAATGTGCTGGGATTATAGGCATGAGCTATTGCACCCAACCTTAAGGTATTTTTATATGATAAAACAGCATTTTAATTGAGTTGGGAAAATATAGGCTATTTTATAAATGGTGTTGGGATAATGGGCTAGCCATAGCAACACTCCTTATTGGGGTAAGAACTCTCTGACTTGATCTAATAAGCTCAAGCAATGAAGACCACGTGGCATAAATATGAGTGCATATTTTGATCATCTTAAGATGGGGAAGGTTCTTCTAAGTATGACATGATATTTGAAATCATAAAAGAAAAGACTGATAAATTTGACTATATGAAAATTAAACATTTAAGTACCTTAAAGAACATTGCAAGAAAATTTTAGAAGAGTGGTGTGTGTGTGTGTATATATGATAAAAGTTTAATCTTATTTCTATTGTACAAAGACTCTTACAAATCACTAAGAAAACTATAAATATCTCATTAGAAAAATGGGCAAAGGACATGAACAGGCAATTCACAAAGAAAATAACTACAAATGCCTGAAAAAACAAAAAGACATTTATTTTCCGCTCCCTATAATCTTAGCAATGCCAATAGAAACAAGCATCATTTGCCTTCTGTTGATCTGGCCAAACATTAACGCTGACAAAACCCAGGCTTGATGAGGGTCTGGACTGATATGTGGGCACGGTTGATGAGAATTTTGTTGTTGTAAGCTTTCTGAAGGACAGAGTGGCAAAATTAGAAATAGCATACCCTTAATTGCAGCCATCTCATTTATCAGATTTTATTCTAAGGCAGTTGTTGCAAAAATGAGCAAAGAGAATATGCACAAGGATATTTATCACAACATTGTTTATGAGAACAAAATTCTCACAACATCCTAAATGATCATCAGTAGAGAC